CCAGAAATACTTCCTGACAAACAGCAGTCCTACCATATGATTCACAAGGTTAATTGTTAAGTCAGAGGTTAAGACTCCAGCTTCATGGCTCACTGGTGTTCTTGGGGGCCTTTAACAATGTGAAGAAGTACCTTTACCCTTGAACACTGTGTTTTCATCTGTTTTCTGAAGTTTGCTGCTTTGAAATTGCAATGTTCTTTTCCTATTTATAAAAAAAAAACAAAGGGGAAAATTTGTGGTAGAGCGCTTTTAGAATTCACTTACATTTAGGTTTTAGGATAAAGAAGGTGTTTGAATGATTTTCAAATTGTTTGAGCCAGTTTCAAATGCCCACAGAACCCAGAAATACAAAATCATTGTTTTCAGGTGTCCAGCCCAGAAGAACCAAGAAAGTAAGTCTCAGCTGGGACATAACTAAATATTGCCTGAGATGTTTTGGCCTCTTCACCCTCGCATCTGACAGGGAAAAAGAGACTGCTAATGAACTCTGCTTGGGGAAAAAAAAAAAAAGGATATGCAAACTACATATTACAGATCCGTGGGATCTACAGAGATGATTAGAGCAATGTGTTGTGCTATTTTTAGTTTTAGATTTTGCAAGGTGGGTGTTGTAAATTTCCGGAGCAAAGCAAACCTATTTGTTTATTATTTATAAAGTTGCACAAGAATATGCAAGTGAGAACAGGTGTTTTATCTTTAAAATGTTGTATAATTTCTGTATAGGTGAGGGAGAAGCAGCCACTAATTTGAGTGGAGGAATTTGGGAGAGATTGTATTTAAAATGCAAGAACGTTGTTGCAATAACAAGTCACTGTTTTATTGCAGAGTTTAAGTTCAGATGTGTTGATGGTAGTGGTCAGGCAGCTGCAAGAGTACCTCGGGTGCTGGAGAAGTTTTGTGTGGCTGTCACAGAAGCAGAGAATAGTTGAGGTTGGAAGATGCCTCTGGAGATCATGTAGTCCACCCCCGTGTTAAAAACAGGGTCGAGTAGAGCAGGTTACTCAGGACCCTGCCAGCCAGGTTTTGTGTAACTCCAAGGATGGAGACTTCACACTCTCTCTGAGCAACCCCTTCTGGTGATTGACCAACCTCACGGCAAAAACAGGTTGTTGGTTTTTTTTCTTGTATTTAGGTGGAAACTCCTGTATTTCAGTTTGTGCCCATGGCTTCGTGTCCTGTCCCTGGGCTCCCTTGAGAAGAGTCTGGCTGTTGTCTTTCCTATCCCCAACTGCCTGAGGGTTAACTGCAAGTTTGGTAATTAAAGCTGTGGCTGAAGTTTTCCTAGTATATTTTTTTTTGCCCTTCAGCAGAACTAGTTCAGATTCAGGATAGGGGAACTCATCTACCTTTAGGATGGGTTGGGTTTAGGATGGTGTACGTTGCCTGCTTTTGCCACATCCCGAGGGTCGATACTGCTCTGTGCTGGGCTTATTTTAGTCTGACTTCATTGACTTAGGGAGAATTATTATCCTGTTTTCCACTAGGGTAGGTGACAGCTCTCAATAGCAGATGGAGAAATTTTACCGCGCTCGTACCAACGCCACCGAGCTGCATTTTTACAGGAACAGGTCACGTAGTGTAGGAATAGCACTGAGGAAACACATGGATGTCTGTCTGAGCACTGTGGTGGTGACAGATCTTTGCTCAATATCCACAAAGGTTCTGCAGCCAGCACCTTTTCCTAAGGGTGTTTCCTTTCCTGTAGTGGTTGGCGTATATTACTCTATTTCAGTATTTGGAATTATCTTCAAACAAATGGAGACAGCAGAAGTCTTGGAATGTGGGACTCAGCCTGCTTGGTTAGAAACTGAAGGCACTTGAACAGTCTCCGTGTGTAGGATCATACATCCCCAGGATCTTTTCTTTTACTTTCCTCACTTTAAAGGAGAAGGAATATATTATTATTTGTTTCGGAATATTTTCATTTTTTTGTTTAGGGGAAAAAAAATCTGAAAAGGTGACAGGCTTAAATTTAATTCTCTTCTTACCTTCAGGTACAGCATTGAATGCCCCAAAACGAAGAAAGTGAACAAAGAATCTCGTACTACTGTACTACCTTGCACAGTCAGTGTGAGAAACTGTGTCACTACCAGTTTGAAAAAATAAATTAGCTTGTGCGGTGCTCCGTGCTGCTTCAAACTAGATTACTTGGAAAAGAATTATCTCTTTTGCAGCAGACTCGGATAGTTACTGTATTTTGCAGATTGCATTTCACAAACTACAATGAAGTATTGTTTTGCTTTTCAACTAGGAAATTTAAAAGAAAAATCGTACCCTTGGTAACTGATGGTTTTCTCAGTGATGTTATGCATTGTATGGTATATGGTACATACTAATATCAATATATTTGTCAGGCAAAAAGAAGAAATAATGCAGGAGGTAACTCCTGTAACTGTGGGAGTTCTTTGAGCATGTAACAACTTCTCTGTGATTAATTAGTGAGTTGACAAACCTTTCCACGCACTAAAACCCTTTGATGATTCCTATATTCGTAATTATTTGTATGGCTTGAACTCCTGGTATCGTTTGTCAGTTTTTCTCTCAAAATATTTCTTAACATATGCTGATAGAAGTGGATTTTAAAGACATAAAACCTGGCACTTTGATGTGAAGTTCAAATATCCCTTTGTGTGAGGGTAAATGCAGGAATATGGAAAACTAATGCCCTTTTCATTCTTCAGCCCTGCACACTGACTGTTGTAGAAGTCCTACTTTTCCTGGGAAGCCTTTTATTATTTCCCTTATGATTGGTGTGACAGTTCAAAAGTGTTTTGTAAGAGAAGTCAGAAATTCTGTGAAGTGATGAAAATAGTGTCTCATGCTTTTTCCTTCCGTAGTCCAGCCATTCATGAAGGCTGCAGGGTAGACCTCCCGCTGATGCTCTGAAGAGGATGAAGAATCTGGGTGGCCTCAAACAGTTCAATGCTCTTTGGGGAGCTCATCTTTTGTGCCTGCAAATTCCAGTGGCTGAGGTCTCCCTAGTACGACTTTCCTCTTGTGACTGCTTATCTCAGGGTGGCCAAGTAGGTGTTTCAGTTGGTCTGAAGGCAAAACGGGATCAATTCCTGCTTGAATCTTGGCTTAGGAGACTTCTCTTGTCAGCCTAAAATGGATTTAGTTTCCCTGAGGCCCGACCATGATGCAGAGGTGAAGCTGCAGGGACCCAGCCCAGTTGTCCTTGCTACCTCAGCCAGTCCTCCATCCTGTAGCACAAATGGCAATAAGGTTTTCTACAAACCTTCATCACCTTGATGTAGGTAGCACGCTGCTTTTGGAGTAGCACTAGACTGTGGGTGTGCCATTTGAATATGCCACCAGATTTCAAGACTGCCCTTATCTCTAGCGGGCAGGTTTTTGAATCAACAGTTGTCTGTCTGGTAAATGTTATGGGGGGGAGAAAGGCTAGTGTAATTATCCTAGCAATTTTCTAATGAAGATAGATTTAATTTTTCATTCCTTTTCTCTTCGCTGTGCTGCAATGCTAAGAAAAACTTTAGAAGATTACAGCATAAAGTGTCACTGATGCTCTATATCACCTCTCTTATGTGGAGTTCGTAGGAGCTTATACCTGGTTCCTTCAACGTGTTGTGGCATCAGCACCCCTCTGTTCTGCAGGCAAAGTCTGAACTTCCTCTGCTCATTGTGATATTAAACATTTGGGAAGCTATTTGTAGAAAACTGCCAGGAAATAGGAAGGAAAGTGTTGGCTTCATGTGAAGATTATAAAACATTTTCTTTCTTGTGCATAGGCATCCTCCAACAGTAAGGTACGGGATTCACTCTCACTTTCTTTGTTCCCTTAATTGGAAGAGCATCTATTCCTGCCTGTTACTTCTTATAATTGAATTTCTCTGTATCCATCGTTGCCCCTTTGCAAGGCGATCTGGTGCTTGCCATTTCCCATCAGCAGTGCACAGAGAGGCTGTGCAGCAGGTTGAAGAGTTTCCTATTATTTGCTTTGCTCGTAGCTTCTTATTCCACTGCTTAAGAGAGTTGAGCAAGTGACCTCAGTTTGCCTCATGTTAATTAATTGTCTTAAGATGATTCGTACATTATTAGCACTGAAATGGTGATATCCTGTAATCTGTTTCAGAGGTATATATTTAACATTGGAAGGATTCTTTTGGGTGCTTGAGTAGGAGGGAGGAGCTTTTTCCTGGAGCCTGTAGTGACAACAGGGGACTGCTTCTGGGGCTGGAGGGAGGTGTGGGGCATTAACCCGGTAGTGACAGGGGAGAAGCTGGTCTGAAGCATCTCTGCCAGTGCATAAGGGTAAGTGCTGTTGTGGTGGGTACTTGCTTGGTATCATTGTTCTCATATTTGGGACAGGACTTCCAAAAGGGATAGATTTTTCTTCTTAAACCAATATTGCAACCAATCTGTAAGTTTCCACATTTGTTAGTCTGCTGTCAGGGTAGCTTTAGCTGTTCCTGAACTTTGAAGAGAGGGATGAGATTCCTGACTGTTTGCACAACATCAACATCATAATATAACTTGTGTTATTGCAATTGTTTTTCTATTTTCATGGTGAATACAGATGGTAGGACAAAATAAAAAGGAGACACTTCCATTAAAAAGCAAAGGAGGTGAAACAAGTCCTCGTGACAGGGCACATAGCTGTGGTTCACCTGAAATATTGTGACTTCTAAGGTTTCATTTGTGTCTCTGCCCAAGTTAATGAATCTGAAACCAGTTCTAGGTGTGCCTGGCAGTGTCAGCACAGGCCTGTGCAGCACTCCCGTCTGCCCTCTGATCTGCTTACAAGTGTTGGGTGAAATGCTGTACAAATAGCTTTTTGTGAACAGTATCAACCTCCCTCTCCTTAACTTCTCTTTTTCTCGTGTGAAAAGCCAATGTCCATTGAAACAGTTTTTACAGAATGTGTCTGTTACCAGAAGACAGCTTGAAAATAGAGGTTGTGTGTGTTAAAGCTTTTTCTTGTTACAGCAGGAGCGATAACAGGACTCTGTGTATCTCTGCCCATCTTTCTGCCTTTGCAGCGTGCCTCTTGTTGATTTGCTGGACAGCACAGACTTGCCAGAAACTTGTGTTGATGATGCCGTTGGCCGTCCAGTTGTTGGCTTGGCAACAGGGGATTCTGAAGAGGCTGTTAATTTCCCTCATCCTGGCACAAAGGAATCTGCTGCTGAAAAAGCAGACTCTGATCGTAAGCAAACTTACAGATTTTTCCCTATTATCATGATGTGTGGGGACAAGGTTGTTATATGGTTTTTTTCCTTCCGAAAATCCAGAAGTGTTTTAAAAAGCTCCCTTGGATTATATGCGTAAGGACAGTTTTACCCATCGCTGGGACAAGGAGGTTGGTCAGCTCTCCCGTTTCACCTGGAAGCAGCTTATTTCCAAGGACAAAGGGAAAAGTCTCAGTTCTGGGGATCCCGCTTTATCCCCAAATCCAGTGAAATGAAGTGCAGCCATCTGAGCAGTTCACTCCTGCTGCTCTCTGGCTGCCTGGCTGTGGGGACGGCTGGGCGAATGGCCTTGTGGGAGTGCAGGGGGCTGTGAGTAGGTACATACAGTCCATAGGCTTGAAAGTTGCATGGAAGGTTGAGCAAGTAGCTTCCCCCATCCCGGTGCTTTTCCCCACACCTTTAAAACCATGTAATTTGTGTTTGGGAAGAATGCAAGTCAAGAATTAAAAGTCAAATCACTCCACGGTGATATCTCTTCTGTCTTTTTCAGCGTTTGAAGACACGTTCCTAAAGCTGAAGCAGCTGGAGACAGAGTGCAGCAGCCCCGTGCCAGGGGAGCGTCCCAACGTGAACATTAACGTACAGGTACTTGGGCTTCTTTCCTCCTGGCAGAGTTGCTGAGTTTTGTTCTGATGGTTCTGAAAAGGCTTTCGCTTACCTTGGTCCGTTTGCAAGATATTTAAGAATATGAGTGAGTAATATTGGGAGATAGTAAAGGAAATGGAAATGCTTTCTTATACATAAACCTGTGTGTGACAGGGCAGTGAGGTAAAGATGGGGGACAGAGGTGCGTGTGTGTGGACTGCAGCCTGGTGAAATTCTCTAAAATCAGTGGGAATAAAAGGCAAAAGTGCTTGAAATGTTCCTCAGTTGTTTTTTTCTCTAGGTTACTAACTGTACAGTGTTGTACAGCTCACCTCCTTTTTTTGAGGGGATGAGCTGCTTTCCTGGTGTTTTTCAGTTGCCTTTGGTAACTCTCCCAGAACGTTGTTTTGACGTTTTGAGTCAAGTTTGCTGCTGATCCATCCCTCCTGTTGAGTAACCAGTTTTCACCTGTTCTCTGAAGTAGGTGTTAGTGCTGTCTGTGTGTTTACATAGAAAGGAGTGTGTGGTTTGATTTAGTGCCCTTATAATTTTTTTCAAGCGAGTCAGGCTGCGTTTCTATGGGCAGCTGAGCCAAAGTACGAGCTTCAATGCCCTGAACAGGGGGAGGGCTCTCTTCTCCCTCACTCCTCTTTGCTCTTCATTCCCAGGCTTCCCTCTCTGTCACCTCCAGGAATCATTATATGGTTTGGTGAACCACTGTAGCCTACAAAATGGGAAGCAATGGGGTTTTTTTTACCTTTTATTTTGAATTTTTTGTTAAGGTGTTGGGGTTTTTTTTGTTGTTTAGTTTTGTTTTTTAAGTTGTTAAGTAGTGAGTTAAACAGGTGCATGGAAGGGGTTAAAGAAATGTTAGAGCCCCAGTGAAAATAAGTGTGTTGCTAGAACAGGATCTTACAACAGCAGTGAACTTTCATAGATACACTGGTTATCAGACAACTAGACCCAGGCAGGGTATTCTTATTTTTTAATGAGCTCTAAAAAATTTGGAATTTAGGTTTCCTGCTAGGTATACCTGTAAATAAATCATGCTTTTGGGGAGGCAGGGAGAATACAACTTCCTCTGCTTCCCCTGTGTTAAAGCTTTAGGCACTGGATTGCATTTTGAACAAGCAGAGAGGGTGAAGCACCTGGCGGTGTCATCTCTGTTGGTGCTGCCCTCCCTTGCAGGGAGGCCCCGGGATTTATCCAACTTTGGGTGAAACAGCTGTGATTTCTCCTGCTCCCTCACTAGTAAACGAGCCAGGTGCCAGGAGAGGTGTGTAGCAGCATGTGCCTGGGCTCAGCCCCTTCCTCAGTGTTTGTTCCCTGACTCCTGTGAGCCCAGGCTGCTGCTCTGCTGTGCTTGGGGCTGTAGGCTCTTCTGCTCGTGTCCCCTTTAAGGCCTGGTGTCAGGGATGCCTTGGGCACCTCTGCCTGGTGAGTGCATCACAAAGATTACCGGGTCTCTAAGAGGATTATTCAGTCTTCAGTAGGTCCTGCCGTGCCCAAACACTGCCTCTGCAGAAACTCCAGCAGCTGAGCACAGCTTGTTTCACAATGTTCTTGCCTGTTGAGCTCCATTTTAGTGCAGGAGAGGGGAAAAATACATTTAATTGGTTAAATGGAGAGATCGGAGCAAAAGTGTCATCATGGTTTTTAAATCATAGCTGATAAAATGTAAGCAAGGGATGAGTGCTGTAATGGGCTGATGTGGCACACAGCTGCCGGTGGGTGCAGTCACCACTATCCAGCTGCTGCCGTGCAAGGTGCTGGGTGACTCTGGATTTTAGAGGTTACAGATACTGGGGTGATCAGAACCTGATTAGGGAGCAAGACCATTTGTGTAACTGAGAAATACATGATGTATGGATCAACATTATGCCAGGATGATTCTTTCTTTCAAGAAGGAGGTGCAAATTTTATTATGAAAGCATAAGCGTAGATCATCAGTGGTTTTCCTCAGGTAGAAAAGATTGAATAAAGCTTTTCAGCCTATGATGTAGCTTACCAAGAGGTCACTTGAGAGTGACCTTAAAAACGCAGAGGAAGATTAGAGGCTGTCTCTGTATACTTTAAATTCTGTATGCCTTAAATTCCAAAGACACATAGGGTACAGTAGCCCCAGATGAGCACCCCCAGTTGTGATTAGTGACGAAAGTTAATGCTTTGGAAATGAGTCCTGAAAACAGTGACATAACTTAAAGACAGTTTGTTTTCTGCTTTTGAAGGCTGCTTTAGAAAAAAATATAAATTTCCACTTAAGGTGTTTGTTAGAAAATTGTCTCTCCTCCTGCACCTAGTTCTGCTCTTAATCTTTGTGTAAAAGAGGTGTTTATGGCATCTTCTTCTGACTCCACTGAATGGGACGGTGATATATATCCAACTGAAACCCTGCAGTGAGCTTAGATCCTGGAGCTTGCTGTGGCTTCAGATGAACACAGTGTTCTCTCTGACAGTGTGCTGATACAAATTTCAGCGTGTCTCATCTCCTCCTTTAAGTTTTACCCACGTATGAGACACAGACCTATGTAGAAACAGGTACAGCACATAAAAGGTTTGGTAAAACACATCAAGGGAAAGCATTAGTTTTCTGTTTATGAAGGCAGAGCTGCATCCTGAACTTCCCAAGTGACACTGTCAAACGCCAGTGGCTGTTCACTTCAGCTCTGTTAATTAAAAATCTTTAACTATTTCCCGTCAGGGTCAGAGATGGCCAGCCTGCATCATCTTTACGTAATTCTGTACTTGCAATCAATCACTCTTGATTGGTTTCTTTGGTAGGGAAATATTTATCTAGCGATCTGTGTTCTTTTAGAGAAAAAGAGAAATCTTTTTGGAATAAGAACTGGGAAGGGAGAATGAATGGCTTCATTCTTCACTGCTGCTCCCTGCCAAAATCTGTTGGGATGGAAGAATGCGACTTTGTCCTTTCCCAGCTTTCACTGGGGCAGTGACCAGACCTGACAAAAGAGAGCAAATAGCTCTTAAATACACCGACGCTCCACTTTCATCAGCTTCTGAAGTGAAATGAACAATAAAAAGTTCGCCCTGTTTCGCCTGTGTTCATATCTGCTCCAGAGTCAGAAATGCAAGGACGGGAGGGTTCTCTTTTTCTGAATTTGTTGTGATCTGTAAACATGTGGGAGTTGCTCCAAAATGTGATTTTTTTCAGTGGCACCAGGAATGCTGCTCAAAAGCACAGAATTTTGGGATCACACACCCTGCTGCTGCCTTTAATCGTTCCTTCCCTTTTTACCTTGCGGCTTAGCTCTGTGTTTTGATTGAAGATTAAAGTGCAAATACAGCTTGTCTAGTGCATGGAAACAATAAAAATTCCTAACAAGCCAGAATATTGACAAACCCCAACAGCTTTACTATTTTATGTGAACAACTAAATGTCTTGTAAATTAGACATTTTATGGTGCCAAATGCTTTCCCCCTCTAGTGACATGCTCTCTCCATTAAAAACCCAATAAAAAACCAATGCTTTTTTCAAGCACAAAATAGAAGGGATTGCGGAAAAATGTATCTCTAATATTGATGGAAATATTTCCTCTGTGGTATAGAATCTATACTTGTTTACGTTAAAATATTTCTTAATAGTACCAAACTTTTCAAAAGTTGGGAATCTAATTGCTAATAGAGTGACCTGATTAAACTGCTTGTTCAGGTGGAGGAAGCTGAGAGGAAGTTAAAGCCCAGAAAGGTCCCTAAAGCACCAGTGTCCTGATGTGCTCAGTTAAAACAATCACACTTTACTGTGTCACTGGTACTGGAATAATGCATTAGAAATTCTGTGCAGGGGCTGTTATATCCGGTTCAGTGAGATCCAGTGTCAGGATTTAAGGATTATCGCAGTTGGGTACCGCGACTGTACAAATAATAATAATTCAGTCTTAATTGTTCCAGGCTTTTGGCAATTCCGGCAGCTTCTCTAAAACATAAACACCTTTAAATATTTAATAACTATTTGTTTTGTTAGTCTTCATTAATTACGTGAAAGTGCATCTCTTAATATCTGCTAACAACAGTCATTAGCGACACTGGTTGTTGGTCCTCCCAACGTTTTATGCAGATAGTGATAGATTTTGCAAATGTCTGTATCCGGTGCTGACTGGGGTCCAGATTTTTGAACGGGTTCTCCTTTAGATAATCTCGTGAGTTCCTATTCGGATACCCTGAAAAATTACTTAAAGGGAGACAAGAAGAGGAGATGTTTTTCCTCTCTCTAAAGACCAAACACCAGGGTTGTGCCTGCTCGGGGCTGCTGCAGGAGGAAAGGGGCAGCCTTGGCCAGGGACAGGGGCATATGGCGAGGAAAGCAGGACTCTGTCTCCCCCTGCTGAGTCATACCCCCACAAGAGAGGTCACAAGGTTTAGTTTCCACTTAGTTAATTATCTTCTGTCACTAATCAAATAGCAATTAGTAGATTGAATGCTTAATTAACATTTTATAATTAAGAAATGCAATTCACGTAATGAAATATAGTGTAGTGAAAGGTATCTCATTTTTAATTGTCGTCTTATGTATCTGGCTGCCAGTTTGCTCTGATGTAATCAGTGAGGAGACAGGGAGCGAATAGCACATTAAACTTGTTCTAATTTATAAGTGAATTTTAAAGTAACAATCTTCCAAACTTGCAAGTGAGAGTAAATTATCAACCTCTAGTTAAGCTGTATTGGAATGGTGTAATATGATGGCTGCTATATTGATCTATCAGTAAACTAGGCTGCAAATCTAGGGTCCACTTCACTTCTTGCACACTGTATTTTTAGCACAGCACTTTCTGTCTCCACATTTAAGCGTTGTGCTTTTTTTGCATTATGTTTTGCTATGACTTTACAAGAGAGTTCCAAAATAAAGGAAAAAAATTGATTTTTCATGTCAGTATAAACCTGCTGACTTTCCTCTCACTCAGAGCCTTGTTGTTATTTAGAGGTGTTAATAAACTCCAGGCCAGACTTTTCCACGTGGGAGCTGCTTCTAATAAAGATATTTTTTCATGTCTAGGATGAAGTGGTGAAGCTGACAGATAAATGTCTTAACAACGCAATTGAGAGCCCGATGGCAGCAGCGACGTGGCTTCCAGCAGATATCAAAAGCAATATCCTGAAGGCCCAGGCAGAAGCAGGGCACAAGGTGAATACTCAACCGATAGGAACTGGGATGTTCTCAAACGTTTCATTTCTCTTCAATTGCCGGGGGCTGGAGGAAGTGCTTTGCAGATACGGGTGCTCCAGGAGCCAAGGAGTGAGAGCCTTTCAGCCTTCCTTCCCAGTAATAGTGATCCAGTACTGGAACGGCTGCCCAAGCTGGAATCTCCATCCTTGATGGTACTCAGTGTGTAACTGGACAAGGTCCTGAACAAGCCCTGGTTTGAGTGGTGGTTGAGCCAGGTAACCTCCACAGGGTGCCTTCTAACCAAGAAATTATTATATGATTCTGTGACTAAGACCATGCTTCTAGCATGTTCCAGTAAATTCTGTAGCAAATAATGGTGTTTTATTTGGCTACGTTGGTGGGTTATTTTTACCTCTGCACTGAAGTTTTCACATAGAATTGATGTTTTGAGTCCCTGAGCAGCAGATGAAGAGCACACTTCCATCCTGGGAGGGTGGCTTTCGGCTCTTCTTTGGATCTCAGAACTGACACAAGACGGAAACAGGTATCGGAAGTTTATATCTTTGTTCATGTTTTCCTCTCAGGTGGTAAGAGAAGACAACCTGACAGGTGTCAAGAACTCCAATATTCAGGATGCTGCTGCCAGGTACTGAATAGATTTGTAAGAAACACGTGGTTTAGTTACCCGAGTACAGCTCTGGGAACCTGCAGTTCCTTCTGGGCCTTCAGTGCCTCAGTGCTCATTGCATTTTACCTTCCGTAGTGCAGCTCAGCCGGGTGAGTGTGAAGTGGTCTTAAAATGAGAGCCAGCAAGCACTGTTGTTGCTAAATTTATTATATACAAGGTAGTCCAGATGCTCTGTGTTCTCCCATACTTTAATTTGATAAACGTGGTTGAAACAGCAGCTTCGATCATCATAGTTATTTCTCACCTGGGAACAACTTTGGTGTGGGCAGAGGGGATGGGGCTGTTTGCAGGAGCTGTTTTCTAGTGGAGAAAAAAATACTGTGTACAAAAACCTGATACTTGCGGTTGATTTCCTGAGAATTACTGAATCTCAAGTGATTGCCAGTTTCAGTGGGATTTCAGGCATTGAAAGACTTAGAGGGTTACACCACGTAATTTCTTGACCATTTGTGAAGAGGAGCCACGTGTCAGACCTCAGAGAGCACGTGGGAATATTGAATAAAATGGGCATCAGCCATCTCAAAAATTGGCTGTAACGAGTGATCCCTGAAGAGTTGTCCGTGGAAGGTTGTACCTGTTTTTTGTTTTGTTTTGTGCCAGGAACATTCTCCCCTCGGGCAGAACACAGAGCAGTCCCCCAGCAGCCAGTCCAGTATTTCAAGCCCCAAGAGAGCTGCTGAAGGCAGCCCCTGCCCCAAACGCCTTTGTTCTGTAAGTGATTCCAGAGAAACGTGTTTCTGGGGTGAGGGAACCACCTGGAGATCACCATGAACCGGTCTGAAAAGATGAGCAGCAGTTTCTGAGCATTTAGGCTAAATCTAACTAAGCAGGTTTACCGATGCATCTTTAATTACCGTTGCAACAGTTAACGAGCGTAGGCCAGGCCTCAGGGTGAGCATCCTAGAAAGCAGTAAGCAAATCTCTCTCATCTTCTGAAAGGACTGAAATACCTGACATCCTGCTGCCCCTGGCTGTAAGGAGGAAGATAAGAGGATGGCAGGGAAGGCTTCGGGCGAATTAGAAACAAGGGCTGAAGAAGCTCCTTTGAGGTAGAAGATATCGATACTGTTGGGTTTATACACAGCTGTAGCTGAAACTGTGAGAGAGGGCAGTAATCTGAGGAGTTGGAAGGCGTTTACTTCAACATCCTCACAAACATCAGCCTGCTGTCTGCCTCTCGTGGCGCTGCTGGTAGTGGTTGAGCTGTCGGGGGAGCAGCCCTGTTCCGTGCTGGTGCTGATGAATGTTTTCTCCTTTCAGTAACGCGTTAACTGAGGACAGCGCTGCCTCTACCCACGAGGACCTGCTGATTCCAGCTCATCTGGCTCCGGCCGAGGAGGCGGCTGTTTCAAAGGTATCACCACCTGCCAGCCTGGAAGGTTTCTGTGTGTCACCTTCTGAGCTCCTGATGCCTCCAGGCAAGCAGAGCAGACCGTGCTGCGTGCCTCTCATAACTCAGTGAATACCAGCCGCTGGGGAATGCCAGAGAGTGCTTTCTGGAGCAGACAGGGACACTGTACAGATCTCACCAGAGGCCATTTCTGAGTGTCCTTTCAGCTGCTTTGCCTGAGATTTATTTTTCTGATCGTTTTCCTGACGCTGGTGATTTGATGCTCCAGGAAAGAGACTGCAGGGATGGAATTCTGCCATAGGCAATTCCCGTCAGAGTAACCACAGAGAGAAGAGTTTAAATTGAAATGTTTAATTGTTTTATTCTGGTTACCTTAAGGTAATTTTTAACTGGACTCCACAAAACGCACATAGTAATTCAGGGGTCAACTTGCCTTTGTCTCTTTCCAGAAGAAAAGAGGAGCCCAACACTGGACTCTGCTGTTACGTCAGCAGGCTGAGGGGTTATTCTGCATCACTAAGGCCTCATGCCCTTTAGCTGTTGTCCCTCCAAACCAGTATTATGTAGTTGACCCCACTGTATAATTATCTGTTTCATCTTCTGAGTTCAAATACTCAGCTCACAGACCTTGCTGACCTCGTTGGGTGGCACAGTACCCTATCTTCACATCGAAGAATGGGACAGCGTCACAGCTCACACTGCAGTGACTGTTTCCAGTATGCTGATAAGTTAAATGAAAAGGGTATTAAAAAAGACCCCTCCAAACCAGTATTATGTAGTTGACCCCACCAGTTTCATCTTCTGAGTTCAGATACTCAGCTCGCAGACCTCGCTGACCTTGTTGGGTGCACAGTACCCCATCTTCACATCGAAGAATGGGACAGCTTCACAGCTTACACTGCAATGACAGTATGCTGATAAGTTAAATGAAAAGGCTATTAAAAAAGACCTTATGGAAAGATTTGAGAAAACAGACCTGATAAACAGTGGTGTTCGTTAAGGACAAGAGGAAATAGGCACAAGCTTGAACATAAGAAGGAGGAACTTCTTTCCTGTGAGGGTGGCAGAGCACTGGAACAGGCTGCCCAGAGAGGTGGTGGAGTCTCCTTCTCTGGAGACATTCCAAACCCACCTGGACATGTTCTTGTGCAACCTGCTCTGGGTGGACCTGCTTTGGCAGGGGGTTGGACTGGATGATCTCCAGAGGTCTCTTCCAACCCCATATCATTCTGTTATTCTGTGACACTGGTCTATAACTTGGGAATCCACTAGAGTATTCATCAGACCTATCTGGTTACTACTGGGAATTCAATTCAAAACTGATTTATTCCATAGAGCGCTCCAGATGACCAGGACGTTTCCTTAACACCATTGACAGAGAATCTAATTGACTTTACAGAAGCCACACCTCGGGTAAATGTATTTCAAAACCAAACTTCTTCCTTCACACATAGAGTGGTTTTCACTCAGGAGCTCTCCTCACGGGCTGGATCTGCTGCAGCAGAGCGAAGCGGTGATGGACCTGGAGCAGTGTGTGTGTGCCCCTGCCTTCGGGGGACTGGCTGAGGGGTGACACCTACAGCTTTGTCACAGAAGTGGAGGAACCTGAAGATTAATTTGTATCTGTGCCCCAAGAGCCTGTAGCCTTATTTTAGTGTGCCTGCAAGGGCCAGCCTGCTTCTCGGGCTTTTTGGGAATATTCACTACCTCAGAAATTATATGTAAATGTGTATATATACACACAGACATATATATGTGTGTGTACACGTATATAAATACTTGAAAAGTAAACTTTTAGTTGCCTTTTGGAAGGGATGGACAAACACCCCAGGTGGTTTGGGGAGGCAGTACTGGTCTGGGAGGCAACAGTGTTTTGAGAATGTTCTCAGCTACTTCCAGCCTTCTCTAACGAGCGTTTGTTTGCTTCTTGTAGGTGTCTTCCCAGCCCACCATAATGCCGAGGTGGATAGTGCCAGTGAGTTATTTGATTATTCCTTAACAACAAAAAAGAAAGTTTTTGTCATGATTAAGAAACAGAAGCTCAAGTAAAAAAGTAAAATACAATAATTTGTAATGATTTGGAAGCCCATACCAGCAGAGTGATTCAGCTGGAGTAAATCAAACAACATACATATCCTGTTAATATTTAAACTTCATTTTTGCTGTGTTACATTCAGGTAAATGCCGTAAAGTTTTATTTAAGAACTTGCATTTAGTGCAGCCCTCCCTGGAACTCGATGAATCTCAGTTTTTACAGCTGTAAGTGAACCATACTGCAGAACGAGCTCGTCTTGTCCTGGCAGGTTTTTAGTTCAGTTTCCTGTTTGATTCTCCCCAATGCAGACGGGACCGATTCCCAACGGGCCGTTGGGAGGTGACGCAGCCTTAGCTCTGAAGGCAGTGAAAGGCAGCGGGGACACCCTCCTGTTGTCACCTGGATTGCCACCGTCCCAGCAGACACCCGACGTCCTTCCCAGGTAAGGTCTCCTCAGCTCCCCCTTCAGAAGCGTGTGTGGGGTGGGAAAGGAGGTAGGAGCTCTGGTCACTGCTGCTTCAATAGTGACAGTGGTCATTTAGACACAGTGCCTGGTTTGCTGTGCTTATAGATGACAGTTTGTCTCTGAGCGTTTGCAATCTTATAAATAAATAGAGCAGCTGGTGTGTGTCTGTTTTTATGTCACATTGTTTGAAGGGTAAGAAAACATCTTTTTTAATCCAAGTAAATCAAGGAACAAAGCGTACACGTTTAGCTGGAGTTGGAGGTAAACATGTTGTCATTATAAGTGCTATAAAATCGATTAATTCTTTTTAATTATCATTTAACTTCAGGTTCTTTCCTTAACTACTAACACCTCTTAGTACTGGACTAAAATTATGGTACAGGTTAATTATCTGAGAAATCACTTCTGGCACCTGCCAGAGGGTTTGGGAGGGAGAGAGAGAAATGTCCCCCAGGTCTTTCCAAGCTGTAAGGAAGTCCGAGGAGAGAATCTGTGGAAACTTTTCCCCTTCTATTCCGTTGTGCCGCGCTGGCGAGGCAGTGATGGCAGCCATGGCCAGGTCTGTCAGTGACCCTCTTACGGTGCGGATGGCAACGATGGCACTACTGCACTGTGTGAAGCTGATCCAGGTTGCTCTTCTGGGGGTTGTCCGTTGGTCTCACTGAATTATGAGGGGAACAGCTATTAACAGTCTTGGGGACAACACTCACCTTTTCCTTTTTACATGGCAGATCTTTTTGGAGGAGTGTAGTTACAGGACCTCTTTTTTTTTTTCCCCCCC